AATGGCATTCGTCCATTTGAGGGAATGGCCATTCCCTCCCCCCTCCCTTTGGAATGAAATCTCATTCCATCGGATTCTAATTCCTATTCTGATTTTTGTCTAAACCAAATAGACTATGTGAATAGACCATGATTTTTAAAACCGACCTGGCGACCGAACCGGTCAGGGGTCTGGTTATCGGGTCAAACGGTTGGACTGTTCTAACAAAAAAATTAAAAAATAAAAATAAAATAAAATAATTTGGAAAATGGTCAAAACCGTTCAAACGGTTCGAATGGTTAACTAGCTGGTTCAGAGGTTTGCTGACCAAAATCAATGGTTTTGGGGACAAATGGAACCGGTCAGGTGACCGGTTCCCAATTTTTCCGGTCCGATCGTCCAATCAGTCCGGTTTTAAAAATCATAGAATAGACCATTCCAATTCCGATTCCAAAGAATTTTAATTCTGATTCTAACTCCAGCTCCCACTATTAACCAAATGGACCCTAAAATATCTCTCTCATTTTTTTTTCTTCCTCTCTTCAGTTGCCAAACCAATGAGTTCAACACTCGTCCTTCTTTTCTTTTCTTTTTAATTTTTTTTTTAACATAAAGATTATAACTCACTTGTTATGGATGAAACCGGTTGTAGAACTCTGTCACAGGCCCTCTTCAATGTCCTTAGAAGGCCAACCCAAAATACAGCATAACCATTAATTCCAGAAGAAATATCTGGATAGTCTAACAGCGTAGCAGCTGAAATGGGTAAGCGATTAGCTGGAATCTTAAAGGTTCAGGAATGAATCTAGTGGGATTAATTGTTTCATTTGGAGCAATGCTTTGTTCTAACGATCGAAACGCTGATTTCTAGTGGGGCTGCTGGTGTTGGGATTAGGAATACTCCGTTCATGATCCCATCCCAACCCCATCGACGTCACGAAGACACATCACAATCCAATTGCAAAGCTCTCTCAAGGCATCACAATCTCTCTTTTTCTTGTGCATCCAAACTTGATGTTAGACACAGTTCATCAAACCGACGTCCATTTCACTGGAGTCATTTCTCAACGTGTGGAAGTTTTATCTATATCTCCTAATTATTCTCAATGCTAACAATACGGTGAAAAGTTTTGAGTTCATCAATCCAAATTGATGAGAGATTGAGAGATATAGTATGTATTTGATTCCGTTTTTGTTTATTGAGTAAACGTTCTCACATAGGCGCCCCATCAGCAAAGGCCTCATTAATTGCATCCATATATATCGATATTTGCAAAAGCTTCTTTTTTTAGCTTCCTGAGACGGGTAAGTGTTTATTGACACTTTGCTGATATGGTACTTAATGGTGCCTATGTGTCATAAACACCCTCATTAATTATTTTTCTCGATTTTGCAGTCACACAAGTACAAAACATTTACTCAATAAATGGAACCAAACACCCTCATATATTGTCACATCATACATCATATTTGAATGGCAATTATATGTTAATTTATGGTGTAAATCTCTTAAGCTATCCCTACTATTCATGAAATTGACAAATTGTACCCTTCTGTTTAGATAGTCTTGCGGTATCCTTAAGTTTTTTGACAATTGTCATCATTGTTAAGTTCTAGTAAAAGAAAACGAAATGTCAAATTTGCCTTTCATTATTCATCAAAATTTCAAAATAAAACTCAATTGACTGTGTAGACCGACTCATTTGCGATTTCTAGTGTTAAATCCCATCTAGATGCCACCGTTGTTGTTCTTCCACACTGTAGGTTCTTTACAAAAATTTGTTCAAACCTCGGCTCTCAGCTTTGTGCAAAGTACCCATCCTCTCCCACCACCACCAACTTTCACATTCGTCGCCTCTGCCATGACAAATAGCAGCTTTTACATTCGTGCTCTCTCTCTCTGGAAAGCTTCTACTCTTATATTGTTTGAAAAGCTTTTTTATCAACCATTATCCATCTTCATATTTTCTTCTACTTCTTTAACTAACTCAAGAAGCAATCTGCTCCAGAGCTCTCTTACCAATCCACTCCAAAGCTCACACGCCCTGTGTGAGGAGCAGATCCCACCTCATTCATGGACCAGGCTCGAGCTTGGCTTTTGGAAAAATTTGAATGGAAGTCAGGCCCAAACCCGGCTTGTAAGGAGGTCCTTGTGCGGCTTGATTATGGTATTGTGCTATAGTCCCATCTGCTCTCCCCGCCGGTTTCTTCCCTAACAACTCTTCGCCTCTTCTATTCCCCTTCCTTTACCCTCTGCTCTCCCCATCGGTCACTATCAACCTCTACCACCATTAGCCTGCGTTGTCGTCTTTCAAAATGAGCTACGCCCAAGTCGTCCTTGCGACCAACTGGAGCCTCTTTCTTTCTCTCTATCTCTCTATCTATCTATCTATCTCCCGTTTTGCTGGTTTTCTTCTACAACAACCCCACCATCAAAGAGAAGCCATAGAGAAGATGTCTTTAGCCAAGTTCCCGATATGTCAGCTTTCTCTTTATGTTATTTGACAAGTTTCTCTTAGCTTGAACCACATTAATTGCAACCCAATTGTCTTTTCTCCCACTCTTCTAACCAAGTACAGATGCTTTTGATTCTACGTTACGTCTGAAAGTAGATATTACAGGGTTTGAGATTTTGTTGAAGAAGGGAAGTCGACGAGACTAGTTGGACATAATTCAATTCATTTACACCTACTCCACCCACAACCTCTTGACGAAGAGGAAAGATGCCAGGCTTCACCAAAATGTTGATTTAGTAGCGACGTCTCCGTCACCTATCAAACGTCATCTTGTATATAGTTTCTCTCTGATGTCGGCCCTGGCTTCATATCTCTCTGATGTTGGGACACAGAATCAGGAGAGGAACTGAAAGCATGTTCTTCATCCCTTCCGTTCTCTCTCCCCTATTTCGTCCATAGTTTCTCTCTGATGTCTGCCCTGGCTTCATATTCTCATTAAAAAAAGGAAAAAACGTATATATTCAAATCACAAATGTTCTTCCACTGCTCTGATTGATCGGGTCAATAGAGTGAAGCTTTACAATGTAGATCCTCGAGTGCTTCATGCATTCGCGAATTCCTGTGTTGAATTCAACATGGACTTGGAACAGAACAGAAGCTTCATTTTTCTTGGGAGGCTCAACCTCCCACCAAACTTTTGTCGTTCGGAAGTTGCAGTGGTTACTATCACATGCGACAACGATACCGAAATCACTGCCACCGCTACAACTTCCAATAGTGGCAGTGAACAATAAATGTAGTTTAGGAATTTTAAAATGATTACCACTCATGTGATGTCACATGTGAATGGAGTGTGATGTAAAATTAACGATAAGGGAAATTTCAGACAATTGTCAGAAAACTTGAAAATACCACAAGACAATATCTAAACACTAAGGCTATGTTTGGTTTGAGGGAAAAAAGTAGGAGAATGAAGGGAAAGATAGATAAACCTATACAAGTTTTATAAAGGTTTCCCACTTTTTCTTTCAAACCAACCTAAGGGTACAGTTTGTCCATTTTGTAAACATTAAGTATAGTTTAAGAGATTTACCCTAATTTATATTGATCAGTTAAAATGATTGAGGTAAAAATCTAAAGGTACCAAATATAACCTTAATAAATGCATGTATAAAATAAGATGGTTACAAGGGTGAATTTGACATTAAAAAGTACAAAACATCACAACATTTTTTTTTTGATAATTATAAGGGAGTAATTTTTTGTGACGGTTGGCTTAAAAAAAGAATTGTCACGGTCAAACCAAGGGAAGGTTTACATCATTGTCAATCCGGTGAGATCACGGCCGCATCACGCCTACCTATTCATGGACGTGGTGTTCGTCTCCTGGGTGAGGATTATCTACAACAAAACAAGTTTCAACACCCTATCAACTTGATCTCACACCGTATATCTCGTTATAAAACTTGGGCCCACCATAAAAGTGGAATTCACCATGTATAAGATGTACGATGTCAGATATTGTTGGTAGGACATGGTGACCCCTTGCAAGTTGCATCTACTTTATAGGATGATGCGAGACCAAATCAGCCCCCCACAAGATTGCCCCACAATGTTCCAAAGCACATCCCTCCGTGTATTGGAAACATCTCCCCATGATATTCTCAGAAATGATATCATCAGGAGATGTTTTCAATACAAATGAGGAATGTGCTATGGAATATTGTGGGGGGGTTGATTTGAACTCGCACGGATGCGGCATCCGGATTAGGTTTGTTGCTCATCACACTACATCAACTTCACACACATTGAAGCCATTAATTGAGAACATCTCCTATACTTTATAATCACTCGTGAGGAAATATTCTCAATACATGGTTAGGATGTGATGTGAGGAATAAATCCATTATAGCCACACATCTAGAACATCTCCCATATTTATATAGTACATATTGGTCTCGAATTTATGGTGGATCATGGGGGAGGAATCACAATCACCTGCCAAGAAGAGGCATTCCAATACCCTACCAACAGCATTTAACACCACACATCTCATACATGGCAGGACTCTTATGATGGGCCCCAACGACATAGGAGATGAGACTAGATCTGCTCCTCATAGTTGGTGCCTCACACACACACATCCTATCATGCATTGGGAAGCAGATCCCATTCCATGGGAGATGGGGTACTAGAAGCGTGTTGGAACAGGTTTCTTTGGGAGCAGATCCCATATCATACCCAGCAGGCCGGCTATCCTGAGATCAGATTCGCGCCCCACATGCACATCTCAGCGTGCATTCGGAACATCTTTAATTATCTGGAGATGCTCCCAACACACGGCTGACTGGTAATGGGATGATTTGTGAGGTGCGAGTGGGGCGCTGATGCGAATTCGGCTATCCTGGCCAGCGGATTCTCGGAATTCTATAACGCGAAAAACGGAGAAAGTAGAATTTCAAACGGCAACCGCTTAATCTTATCAAAATAAAAAACAAAAATAAATGCTTAAATGGACGGCAACTATGACCCGCATCCATCCAAACAAAATGCACCAATATATGTTTCATCTTTGGTTATGTCTCTGCAAGTCGCTCGATATTTAACCTCCTGAGGAAGCGTATATAAGAATTACCTTCCAAACGTCCGCGATTTTCGATTTTCTCGCTTTCACGGAATCTTGTGTACATCGTTATCTTCCTATGTGGCGTCTCGAGCGCAACCTTTGAAGAATTCACTTCTCTTGGTTTCGTTATTCGGATTTGAAGCCCTGCGATCCGTTTCGAAGGATTTCGGTCCTGCAATTTGGAGAAGAAAATTGAAATATATTTGATTTGATCCAGAGGTTGGTCGTTCTCCGTTTAAGATGTTTTTTAAGCTTCAAATTAGGTTCAATAGTTCGTTTTTTTTTTCATTTTTATTTTTTTTTCTTCGTTTTGAAATTTTAGGTTTTTGCGGTTGGTGGAGTTTATGGGCGAGTGGGTATGGGATTTCTTAATGATGAAGTACGGAAGTTCTTCATCTTCGTTCCCAGTTTCTGATGCATTAGGATTTCATTCATTTTCGTTCTTCTTTATATTACTCTTTTGCCGGTTTTTTTTCTCTTTCCCTTAAGCTTGTAATTTGATTTTATTATTGTGGTGTTTCGATGATTTGAAGGGTTTAAAGCCCTAGATTGTTCACTTCAGGCTTTGTAAATTCGTTGGCTTTCTGAATTCCATTTGAATTTTGAGTGCGGTTGGTTGCCATTAGGAAAAGCTATTTCATTTGGGAGATATCGTGATATTGAGATGTTTCTCTATTTGTAGGGTCAGAAAGAGCATTTAATTGTACGAAAGAGCACAGTAGCGAAACATAAAAAACATACGAAAGAGCATAAATAAATAGTTCAGTACAACGTTTTATTTATTTCACCAGAATTTTCGCCTTTTTTTTGTTTTCCTTGGGGGTTTGATATGGAATACTAGTATTACCCAAGTAAATTGGTTGAAATATCTTGGGAAGGAATTTGTGGCATTTTGAGCCAGTTACATGAAACATTAAATGGGAAGGTATTGACCAAACAATCAAGAGTTATTTTTAGCTCTAACTCAATGTAGGCTCTATCTATATGGAATATATGGTTAAATGCGTTAACACTGTAGAAATAATTTTTGGAAAATCTACACAGAAAAGTAACTCATAAAAGTAAGATTAGACTCTTGTGAGTTATTAGTGAGGTCAAAAGCTCATTAGTAACAATACGCTTGGAAAGGGTTTGGGGTCACCTTTTTTCCCCTAATATGGAAGCATGATGAGGAAAACAAAATAGGGAGCTAGTGAGGTGAAAATTTATGGCCACTAATGAACTGTACTGTTATCAAGAGGCTTAAGAAGGCGAGAAATGTTTTTCTTAAAAACGGGGTAGATAAAATATGAAGATGGATAATGTTAGATGCATTAAGAGAGAAAACCACTGGGCCTTTATGAAGGAAGAGCAGGTGAAGGAAAGATGAATGGGCATTTCTGTAGAAATTATAAAATGAGGACCGTATGAGTGGCTTAAGTGTGGGAGGAATCATTATTTTTACTATTGTTGTCACCTAATGCTTTTCTTTTAATGTATAGCAAGTGCAGCAAAATATAAAAATCTTCCTGTATTTGGTTTTACATAGTTTACTCTCACCAAGACACCAATAGTGCTATTTTTTTAGTGTGGAAGAAATGCAATTGCCTAGATGGATGATTGGTAAAAGTAAAACTAGAAAGGATAGACCGAAAGAGTTAGAAATGAAGTCATAAGAAGGAACCTAGGAGTAACTTTAATAGGTGATAAAATGAGAGGAAGTAGATTGAGATGGATATCTCACATGCATAGAAGACCATATACAACACCTATTGGGAAAAGTGATTTGTTGCAAGTTGAGGGGGCTAGAAGAGCTAGGGGCAGATCGAAAAGGACTTGGGTGGAAGTAATAAGAAATGATTTAAGCACCCATAATTTAATGATGGATATGACACTGAACAGAATGGAATGGCAAAACAAGATTCATGTAGCTAACCATATGGTTGGGACAAGGCTTAGATTAGATGGATATGACACTGTTACACTCCATTTGTATAAAAAATATCTTTCTTCTTGTTATTATTATGATGATTCAAGAAACAATGGTCCAAAAAATGAGTGTGGCAAAAATGCGATAGGAGGGTTTGGACCCCCTCTCCCTTTGGTATCTTTACTACTGCTTCATGTTTCTCATCCTTGGATTCAGCCGAGTGATAGTCTTGGGTTATAATTTTCAATAAAAGGATTTTGGAGTATTCCTATGCCGCCTATAGTGGGTGGTTTTTGTTGGGAAGTGTATCTAGAAATAATTAATACTTATGCCTTACTTTAGAGAACAAGACCTAGATGGTGCCTTTCCCCACATTGGTGCTCTCTTTGCAAGATTAATGGTGAGAATTGCTATGACTTCTTAATTTCTTGCCCTTTTCTTCTTCAATTTGGGATTGGTTTCTCTGTTTGTTTGGGTGCAGGTGGAACCCTCCATCTAATTTACAAAGTGTTTGCTCCTACTTTTGTAAGCTAGCAAAACAAGAGGGGAAGAATATTGTGGAGGTGTACAAGGGTTCCAATCTGCTAGATGATTTGGGAGGAGAGGAACCAGAGAACCTTTTTGGATAAAGAAAGAAGTAGGGATGTGGTTGTTGAAGCCATTACATTAGAGTGATTCAATGGGTGAAGACACTAGACCTCTTTAAAGATATTCCGGGAGATGTTAATCTGAGTGAGATGGGTGAGAAGAACTGCCAACAGTTTGGTAGATAGCTTAGCCAAGCAAGGGGTACATAGAACACATGTTTTGGGCTCAAATGTAATCTTGGATTGGGTCAGCTTCTAAAGCTGGTTTTTTCTTTTCACAACTTCTTATTGTAACCTGATTTTTCTAATTAATGAAATCTTTTCTATGTTGCCCATAAAAAAAAAGAGATATTCCGGGAGGTGAACATCCAAAAGTTGTCAATTTAAGGAGATTCTAAACTGGTGATTAATTGGCTCCAAAAGGATGAGGAGGATGGATGGTGGTGCGACATCTATGAAAAAAGGAAGGTCATGAGGTTATTATTAGGGGTAGAGGTGACATTCAATTGGGTGAGAAGAGAAGCCAATGCATTTTCTGACACACTGGCTAAACAAGGGGTGGGAAGGAACAATTTGTTTTGGGCTATGTTGTAACTTGATATTTCCTTGGGGAGAGCTAAGAGAGTTTATCTCTCCCCTTATTCGTTGTACTTAATTGTTCTTTATTATTGATATTGTTTTTGTTATTGATCGAGAGAGAGAGAGAGAGAGAGAGAGAGATGGTTCAGTTACGTGCATAAAAGACCATCAACAGCACTCAAAAGAAGTGATTTGTTACAAGTTTAGGGGCCAGAAGGGTTAGCGTTAGATAAAAAAGGACATGAGTAGGAGTGGTAAGAAATGATTTAAGTGCCAATAGTTTAATAATGGATATGACTTTAAATATAATAGAATGGTGAAACATGATTCTTGTAATTGCCTATAACCGACCCATATAGTTGGGATAAGGCTTGGATTGTTGTTGTGACTTGGACACCTTCCTCTAGGAGAGGTTTCAATGATTGGGAGCTGGTTCTGGTGGCCCATCTTTTCAAAATCCTTCAAAATCAGCAGATGAACTTGCAAGTCCAAGATACAAGATGCTGGAAAATGGACAAGTTCTGGAGAGTTCTCTGTCAAGTCCTTCTATTTGGGCCTTGTAGGAGAGGTAAGAGAATCTTACCCAAGCAAATTAATATGGAAAGCAGAAGGCCCTTCTAAAGTAAAATTCTTCCTGTGGGTGGCTGTTTTGGACAAATGCTTGACTAAGGCCATGTTGATGAAGAAGGGGTTTAATGTCCCCGACTTGCTCTGTGTTCTCTGCAATCGAGAGGTGGAGACATCGTGCCACCTATTTCTGCACTGTAGCTTCAGTGCTTCAATATGGAACTACTTTGTTAATGCTATAAACATGAACTGGTGTGCTCCAGGGTCAGTGAAGGGCCTGTTAAAAGGATGGCCAATCCAGGGTATGTCTAAAAGGGGAAGGTATGCTAGTCCTCAATTCTAGCTGCAGTATTGTGGGCCAGCTGGCTGGAAAGAAATTAAGAATTTTTGAATAGAAACTGGATTCAGAAGCAGTATAATCAATGCAGCAGTAGGTTTCTTAAAGAGCTGGTTGCCTGTCCATAATGTATTCAGAAATGAAAACTTTTCTTCTTCTTTTTTAAGGGTGGACTTTTTTTGGAGGTTCCTAGTGGATTGTTATGTACAGAGGACCTTGTTTTGATATTAATACAGCATATTATACTTTACCTTTCTCAAAAAAAAAGGGAGAGAAAGAAGAAATTTCTTCTTCTAGTTTTGATCATTTCAGCCCAGACCTACATGACCCCTGGCCTAGAAATTTCTGAGCATGGGTAATCATATTTCTTCCAGGCCTAGCTTCAGCCAAACAAGTCCAAGGTCCAGCCAGCCCAGCCTGGCTCGGAAGTTGTATATATATGGTGTAATATCTTATATATTTATATATATTTCATATGGGCTAGCCCGACCAATGATCATCCCTACGATAAAATATTTAATTTTTTGGGTTAATAACTGAAATTTTATTAAAATTAGAAATGGAGGGGAGCAAATATAATAGAGCGAGGGGAGGGGTAAAATCTCTTAACCATCCCCAAGAATAAAACTTCAATTACAAAATTGCCCACGAAAGAATAACTCTTCCCACCCCTTGTTTCACAAGTGCATATGCAAAGGAGTTGGCAGTTCGGCACTTCTCTTAATCCACTGAAGCTTAATTTCCATATCCAGGGTTAGCCATTTATACATCGTTTTTCTCATTTGAAAACTTCCAGAACCCATTTTCTTCCTTTTGAAGCCAACCAATCTGCCAATGACCAATATTTGAATTAGGTCATCATCATCATGTAAGCCCTACCCCAACTATATGGGGTTGACTACATGAATCCTGTTTTGCCAGTTGGTTGTGTTCACTGCAATACCGATTGTCAAATTATGAGCACTTAGGTGGTATACTTAAAATGTCTGGTATATTGGACTTGATCGTATAATGCTACAACCTTCATGTTAGTAAAATGGTGCTCTCTGAATATCTATCTATCTATCTAGCACCTTGCCTTGCTCCTTGTGCGTTATGCTCTTTAGTTTCAAAATCTTGCTTTCAAAACACTGATTTTGGTATGATCCGAGCAAGAGAGCAAATTATGGCCAATTTATGGACAGATTACAGGTCTATATTGGGATTCTTTATCTTAGGGGTATTTCAGTAATTCAGTTGTTCATAGGATTTTACAGTTTTTTACCCAATTTATTTTAAATCAATGGTTGGGATTGATTCTTTAGGTCTTAATTAGCTTTTAGATTTTTAACAGATCTTGTCAAAGTATTGTAAGGAGTGGAGTAGGGAGATTGCTACCAAATATTATTTCTGTGGTGCCT